AAGTGAGAAAACAAAATGAATGTGTTGTGAACGTGTGCCCTTTATGTCACAACAGTGAACCAATAAAAAGAGACGGAAGCAAATAACAAGAGAGACACATAGTGGTATCACTTTGTTAAACACAATAAAATAATTCCAAACTAAATACAAATAAACTACAAAAACTGCAATCAAATAACAGTGTCCTTCTGTCCACTTCCACCACAAGTAATGGTAGAGAGACGCAGAGAGAGAAAGAGAGAGAGAGAGAGTCCATGTGGCACCTTGATTAATGGACAGATGGCAAGGCCATGAAGCCAACTCTGTGTGTGTGTGTGTGTGTGTGTGTGTGTGTGTGTGTGTGTGTGTGTGTGTGTGTGTGTGTTGTGTGTGTGTGTGTGTGTGTGTGTGTGTGTGTGTGTGTGTGTGTGTGTGTGTGTGTGTGTGTGTGTGTGTGTGTGTGTGTGTGTGTGTGTTACATGATCTGCCTGGATATACTGACTCAATGAAGGGTGCTATATGTCAACCCGATACAGACACATGCACATATATTGACTTAAATCAGGAAAGAAACTTCAGTGTATAGTCACTCCAGAACAACTTCACTAAATGACTGTCTCAGTGTGTGTATATGGGTGTGTGTGTGTGTGTGTGTGTGTGTGTGTGTGTGTGTGTGTGTCTACCCATTACAGCGCTGACTCTAGCAAGAGCCGTTGGAACGCTGTGTGCCAGCTTAATGATGTCATCAATCATTCCCCGTGTCCATTGGTCAGTCTATCCTCTCCTGAAGGCAGCCTGTTAGAGCAGTTTGGCCTTCATGCAGAAGCCTCTGATATTACCCACTGATCCATAGCTGAGTGTGAGCACATTAACTTAGGAACAACTTTTAATCTGAAGTGTATTTGACTCATTCATCCGTTTTCTGACTTTTAAATTCATCCAAGCTCAGATTTACTAGACTTGCTGGTACTAAAATGTTGACACACTCAACAACACACAGGGTACCTTTAATACAAAATGAATCTGATAGCTTGACAAGTAATATTTGTATTTGTGTACGGAAATAGAAGATACCCCCTAACCCTTCCTGTCTAAATCATGATTTGAGTCTTTCATTTTGGCTTACCTGTCTTTTGGTTACACACCATCCTTGTCAAACTTATTGAAACGAGAAATGTCCTTTTATAGTGACAATCCGTTGATCAAATATGTACTTTAATCATTAAGTTATTTGATAAAGAAATGACCATGTAGTTAACGATTTAAATCACCTCACTCTCACAGTCATCATGCACACTATTGATTGGTTCCTGAGTTTATAAGCTCTGAAGATACTATGCATGGATAGCTTGACATTTTTTCTCAATGTATAAAGATTACTTGAAACGGGGCATATTCCAAAACCAAGAGAAAATAATGTATTGGTGAAAAGTGTGAAGGTTCTTTAAAAAATCAAACAAGCCCAGGGTCAAAAGATGTATTTGTACCAAGAGGACATTCCCCGTTGAGAAGCCTGCCATTTTCAAATAAGCCCTTGAATCGTGTACTTTTGAAAACTCTTCCGTATGATTTGATTTTGTTTACTGTTTGCTTAACCTCACCTCCAATTCTGTCTATGCTCACTGGTTGGGGTGCAGGGTCAGGCAGATAATCTGAAACAGGTAGGGGTTAAGTGTCCTTGGTATGCTTCAGCAGGTATTTCTGTATGGGTGATTTAACCTGAGCCCTCCACTGTGGCGACAACTCACACAACCTCACACACCACAAAGGGCATCGGGCTGAGAAAGCAGCAGTTATAGACTCTAGTGAGAGGCAGGGATCAGACTGTACAAAACATTTTTCTTTCCGTGCCAGAAAGGAGAACATTTTTAACTTGAACAGCGTTAAGAATTTAAAGACAAACAAACATTTTCCCAGCAGACTTATCAGTGATTATGGGTTGTGTCAGTTATGCTCTGAAGCCATACTATGAATGCTTGGAGAACTGTGAGCAAGGGCATTGGAGCTACACTAAAGGCTTTGGCAATGTGATCCTTGCCTGAAACATCATCCCATTTTGGTCCGCATCCCAACAGTTTATATGAGTGTGTGTGTGTGTGTGTGTGTGTAAGAGAGAAAGAAGTGAGAATCCTAAGGGAATCTAGTTTATCTGATTGTATAAAACTCAAAAGAGGCTATATCGTTACACAGACGCACAAACACATACTGCACACACACACACACACACACACACACACACACACACACACACACACACACACACACAAACACACACACACACCCACAAGCACAAACACTTACTGCATTTCCTGCCTCGGGCATTCAATTAATCTCCCTGGTGATTCCAACAATATGCTTTTAGTAACAGATAGAGCTCATCAACATTTTTTATTTCATCTAGAATGAATTATCGCTTCAATGATAGTGTGGCCCTTTTGGCTTTAAGCCCCCTATCCCCTGTGCCAATAGTAATAATGATGAGAGAGAGACAGAAATGGAGAAAGAGAGACACAGTGACAGAGTTAAGCTCACATCAACCACATTTCAAGCAATGCAATTTAGTTTTTGTACAAGTTTTGACAAAAAAAAAACTGTAAACAAGTGCGAACACAAAACTGAAGCAACCAACTGAATAACAGAGAATTTAGCAGCTGAAGAGGCAGATATAGTTATTTGGACATGGTAGGTTGTTAAAGAGAAGAATCCAAATGAATGCTAGTCTCTCTGTGTGGATTAGTTAACCAACACTATAAGGGAGGTTAGCCATTTAATAAGGTGATATCATGTTGGGGAGTTCAATTAACATAGATACATCACCTTTTATTATCTTGTACTCTGGAAATTGTGAGGTAGTAATATAAGTTAGCATAATGTGGAAAAAAATCAAATAAGTGCTTCAAAAATGTACCTAAAAAGTCCATCTCTGATGAGTTTAAAATACAGAATATACAAGCAGAAAGGGACATAAAGAAAAGTATATATGAAGAGAGATAGAAAGACAAGTAGAGCGAGTCATCATAGAGTGAACTGTAAATCATGAAGTACGTACACTGGCTGATGAATAAAAGGCGAGTGAACTACAGAGAGACAGACAGATTCAAGGAGAGGCAAAGATACGGGTGGAATAATATAAATTATGAGATGTTAGCTCGTCGGGTAATTCCGGTGATAACTCTCTCTGCACTATCGCTATAGCAACACCGTGCCCACTCTGCTGTTGGCACGGTGATCGGATCGCAATTCGTTCAGGCCACGCTGATTGAGCTGTCAACGCACACGCATACACACCGTCTTACACAGGCACACACGTGCAACAGAAACACACACACACACACACACACACACACACACACACACACACACACACACACACTTCATCTCTATGTATCTATCACTTTATAAATTGCAGTGAGCTGAACAAGAGAAGGTCACCTGAAGATGCTTTGAGAGTTATAGAAACAAGCATCACCAGGGTTCAGTCAGGGGGAACTCGGGCAGCGATCCAGGATACAGAGAGACAGATTAGAGAGGTATAGGGGGTCTCTAAGGGGGTCTTGTACTTGTTCTGACACTCTTACAGCACCACACGGACACCACCTTACATCCAAAAACATCCCAAACACACTGCAGTATGATTATTTCACCTGCCCCCAATTCTAACCACTAAATCCCAGTAGTACTTTTTCTGGTGCTTGAAAGTATGCATTGTTGTATGAATGTAAATGTGGGAATTATGTTTGTATGCATGTCGTTGTAAATGTTCATTCATTTGCCAGTGTGAAACTGCTAAATGTGTGTGCGTGCAAGCCTACTGCTTTGCTTTGTTGAGTGTCTCTTGTCTTCACAGTATGTGTCACTTCATGTGCTTGTTTGTAAAATGTGACCGCATGAGCATTCAACCTTATGTGATTATTGTTTTGAGTGTGTATGTGTCTGTTCACTGTACGGTTTCCCGTGGCCTTCCGCTGAACAAACTAATTAAGGAACAAACACTGCTTCAAACCAACCAGAAAATTACCTCCCAACTCTAACAGGACGACCCAAGGACAGACAAGCAGGTCCTCTATCACATCTAGTCAGAACACACAGCCTAATACGGGCTTGGCTGGTTTATCCAACAACTACCATGTTACCATGTTACTTACCACTGATTGTAGCTTCAGAGTTAGTGTCTGTGAATATGTATGAATTTATATTGACATACAGATATATTACATTACATTACATGTCATTTGTTAGTCGCTTTTATCCAAAGCGACTTACATACATTCAGTACTGTGGGCAATCCCCACAGGAGCAATTTGGGTGAAGTGTCTTGCCCAGGGACACAACGACATGCTGACTGCAGTGGGACTTGAACTTGCTACCCCCTGATTCAAAGTCCAGCACTCTATCCACTGAGCCACAGCCGCCATATGCTTCTTCCGCTCTGCGCGGCAAATCTAGCTTCATTGATCAAGTTGACGAAAGCCATTATACATTGTCTTGTGATATCTACTGTAAGTTGAGCATTGTACAACTTCTGACCCAGCTGTAACATGTTGACTTTCAATAGAATATGAAACTAAATTGCTGGTGAGTGTCTGTATCTATCAATACTATCTAATCCTGTGGTATTTCACAGCCAATAGCTTCCAATTAAGTACTTCTGTCCAGGGAGATGTCACTGACAGTATCAATAACATCTTTCTGACCTTTTGTTCCTCTTTCTATTCTGGTATGCACTTATCTTTTCTCTTCCCTTCTCTGTCCGTCACCACACTTTCAGCATAGTCTTAGCTCCACTTTTAATTGTATTTACTACACTGCTGCTTTGATCCACAAGCTTTGCTATTTTTCGCTGTTGGATTTGTTCTGAGAGTGTGTGGCTAAGCCTAAACCTAATGCCTTACTTATAAAGGTAATTGTCTCTCTGCTGTAGTGCTGTGAATCAACAGTACACAAATGATGTTGCTAATACCACTACAGATTATACAGTTGCTACTAATAACAGTGCTATTGTTTTGTTTTTCTCTTCACAGTGAAGACATGTGGCAGTAATCTTCAAGGGCCGTCAGGAACCTTCACATCTCCTAACTTCCCAATTCAATATGAGAGCAATGCACAGTGTGTGTGGATTATTACTGCCTCAAATCCAAACAAGGTAAATCTCCCTCACTCTCTCCCTCTTTGTCTCTGTGTCTACATTTTAATTGTTGAAGTTATTTAACTTTGATTGACCAACACAACCATGATGATGTATTTATTATGACTGGAACTTGCCTCTACAAAAATACTTGATTGCCTAGTCTGTGGACACTCTGCTGGCAGCTTTCTTTAGAACTGCTTAAAGGGGACCTATCATGCAAAATGCACTTTTGTACGTCTTTTATACATGAATATGTGTCCCCGGTGTTCCAGGGAACTCACCAAGTGTCAGAAAACACAACCCTCTCTATTTTCCTCCATACCCAAATCTCTAAAAAAAGGGGCTGCAACGGATCTGATAAAAACTGATCCAGATTTGAACACTGTCCTGACGTCAGGACAGTAGCGCTACGGCTATTGGGCCAACTCCACCAATCAGGAGGAGACAGCCACGGCCATTGCCGTTCGAAAGAGCTGGAGACGTTGTAGTACATATGCCAGGCCTCTAGATGGTGCTGTTGCTCACAGAATCTGCCCTTGCAAAAACAGAGCTAAAAAATGTCAAATTGAGCAAAATGAGGCATGGCTAAAATGCATGGTCTGTTTGGTATTTTGAAAAAAAAAAAGTATAAATATGCCTTATAGGTATGGTCCTACACTATATTATTCAAATATAGCATGATAGGTCCACTTTAAACAAACAACAAACACACAAAACTGCACTTTCTTGGATCCAAATGTAAAACCCCTGCCATGACAAATGTGCGTCAAACATCCAGGTCGCGGCTACTAGATGGATCATTGCAATATAGTCTGCTTGGTAAGAAAAAACACATCTAAGTCTGGTTTCAATCGCGATCAGAAGACCTCAGTGAAAGCAAATATGTGTTATTTCCAAATAGGCTTCTTTGTCAAATTCAGGTACAGCATGGATTTGATTATTGGAAATCTTTTTGAAGACTTTAACATAATGAGTTGGTAGAGAATTTGAGTTGCATTGGCATAGTAGTGCTTTTGCTGGCGGCAATCTGCTGGTAAAAATCACCTAGTTCAGTTATTAAGTCAGCATCCAGCAACACAACTAATGTGCAGTAAATGGGCCACAGCCTGTGAAGGACCCCCAACAGCCCTGAAGACCCCCACCCCCTCTGCTGCAGTGCCAACCCTGTCCTGAGCCACCTTGTGTCATGAGCGTACCCCCCCCCTCCGGTTTCCCCTTAGGTAACACTATTACCTCCCTCAGCTTCTTGCCGTTGTTTACACTTTTTTTTACTGGCCACAGGCTCGGCTGTGGTCATGTTGAAAGTCGTGTGGAGGCAATCCCTAAATCATAGATATGCTCTGAATTCCGTATAGAGCACCATCACATTTTACAGGTGAATGTGGGGCCTATGAAATGTTAAATAAGCAACAGCAGCATCGGCAGAGGCAAGAGTTATAAAGTCTGCCTCTTTGAAAAAAAAGTGTGTTGAATAGTATTCATCAGTGAGTACACCATGTCATGTTTGAGCGTAGTAACTCATCTCAAGTTGTCTGCATGAACTAGCTTGAAGGCTCTGCTACATTTGAATTTCATGCATTCTATGTAATTTTAATCAATATAACAGTCGTCCTTACACGCATTTACAAAGTAAGTTTAGCGGCGTTTTTACATTATTGAAACATGTAGGAGGTTCTGTAAATGATATGCTAGTCAGAGCAAATCAGCATCTAATTCTGTGGGATTGGTTAATCCTGCAAAGGGGTAGATGATAGGCTGGAGGTGAGATGAAAAACTGGGATTGGTCGCTCTATTTCCCAAGAGAAATCTGATTGGTATTCAGGAGACACTTCCTTATTCCACTCAGGGTCACTGTGGTGACCGCTCTGTCGTCAATAGCAACACCTGCGTCAGCACCATAGGGACACACATACAAATATGCGTACACACTCACATGCACAGCCACACACAGATACTTTAATAATCATATTATCTGAAATACACTCTTTTAACATCCACATAAATACATAACAGCCACATATAAACACACACGTACACTTTGTTCTAACTCAGCAACCTTTGTCTCTCTCTCTTCTCTACTCACACACACACACACACACACACACACACACACACACACACACACACACACACACACACACACACACACACACACACACACACACACACACACACACACACACACACACACAGCTCTCCCTGTCACAGCCCAAGGCCTCTGGTTTATGGCCTGGAGCAATACATTCTCTGTTGAAGGCTACAGTGTGTATGTGACTGTTGAAGGCTATGGTTCTAATACCCTTCTGCACCCTTTGGTGTGTGTGTGTTCATGCTTGTGTATGTGTGTGTGTGCATGCGTGTTTGTGTATGTGCACACGAAGATTGAAATTAATGTGTTTCTTTCATGGATGATTATGGATGTTGCAAAACACATTGACCTGTATGAACACCAGATCAACTGAAGCTGTGTCAAGTCATTTTTATAGCCCCTTATCTTTAAAGGATATACAGAAAGTACCTTATCATCTACTGTAATGTTCTATTTTATTTCCTGAACATGTCATGCACCATACTGCACCGCATATGTCATACACTATAGTGAATCATGCATGTCTTTTATCACACTGCATCATGTAAACTAAATGTCATGCACAATGTATGACACGACATCACATTAAAGGTCTTCACGGGTCTGTAAATGTGGACAGCACCTGACCTTTAGAAAATGGACGTCCATTTCAAACAAATACAGACGTGGATTCCTAGGGGCTAAGACACACATGAACCAAACTGACCCTGTTCCAAGTCCGGCCTATCATGCCCTATTACTGAAAAGCAACTGGAAAGATGGTTACATTACATTCATCAGTTAGACTTATGCTTATATAAATTGTATAGGACAGACAAATGGAGGATTATTACAATACTAAACCCATTAAAAAAGTAATATAAAGTTACAAAGCATGCAAAAGGGATAAGCGTGACAAATCATTCAGAATAACTCCAATCTATCTTTTTTCATTTTTCATCCGTCTTGGCAAGTTGTTTTATTCATGTGGGACACCTGTGAAGAGGCACATATGAGAGTGTTCATATTAATCATACCATAAAGAAACAGAAACCTCAATATGTAAATGCAGATCTAGCTCATGGATTTACATCTCCGGTTCTGTAAGACTTGTCTTTCTGCCGTCAGATTAATGTCATTTGTTTCCCTTGGATTTCTGGCAGAATCTGTAGAAATATGTTTTAAAGTTTGTGAAGCCAACAGCGTTAATCAATCAATTTGATGATATAGATTTTTTCCAAATTTTACATTTTGACATGCATTATGATTTAAAGGATCAATCCAAGTGGTATTATTCTGAGAATAGCTGTGCTTTAACAAAGCCAATTCCAGGCAAAAGATCCTTTGGAGGCTTTTAATAAATGGGGAAATAAATCACACAAATGGCTTAACCATTTATCACAATTTAGCAAAAATACTTAGCTTCCTTGGTCACCTTCTAGTTACAACTCTGCTCAGGGTGTTTGTTAAGGACATTTCAGTGTTTGTAGGTTCATGATGGTTTAAGACATCACATGTTGTCACAGTCAGAGTGAGTACTTGCAAGAGGAAATTGCAGGTTGGGACACATCTTGTGGAGTCAAAGGTAATTTACTGGTACAAAAGCAGGTTTTTGCTGGGCAGGTGGTGAAGGCAAACAAACAGCGGGGAATTGGCAGATAAACAACAGGTCACGGGCAGGAAAATAGTCGAGCATTGACGATCTGGCGCACTGGCAGTAAAAAGCTGTCCTCAATTAGGAGGCTGATGAGGGAGCGAGGGGCAGTTTAGTTGGCGGGTGAGTGGTCAGTTGATCTCCTGCGGGGAGAAGGCAACGATAAACACAAACACTGAGAGGAGAGGAGGGTCAAGGTGCAAGCACAACACATTCAGAGGAGAGGATCGTCCAAACTGAGCCTCCTCTCCCACTAGCAGAAATGTGCTTTTTTCTATAACTTGTTTACTTCTCTCCCTATTTAATACTTTACCCCCTTTCCTCATTCCTCCTGTATCATACGTATTCTCTTTGTTACACTCCTTCTCCCCCCCCTCATTCCCAGAGGCTGTGTCCTCAGAATTACCCAGATTCTTCATTAAAGAGCTCAGCCTGAAACCAGCAAATTACTATGGAGAAAGAGAGACTACAGACAGGGAGGAGGGGAGCACGCGTATCACTTTCTCCATTGCAGCCATTTCCACACATAGTCTACATTTCTCACTTTCTCCTACTCGTTCACTGGTAAAGAGACATAGAGTTTCTATTTTGTCTCAGTCAGCCACATTCCCTCTCCGTCTGCCCACCTCTTTGCTCCTTCTCTCTCAGGTTAGATGTTAATAGGGTTCTATAGCTCTCTGATGTTATTGCTTCATTTAGTTTTGGCAGAATGAGCCTTTAGAGCCAATCCATTCTCTCCTTTTCTCATTTAACCTTGGGGACGGTATGACGAGAGGGCCATTACTATACCTCTCTCTTCCCTTCTTTCCTATTCTCTTTTTCAACTTCTCTCAGAAATAAGATCTTACTGTACTATTATCTTTTTCTTCATTTTCCACATCATTAAGTTTCTCCTTTTGCACTTCCCATGTTCCCATCTTCCATGATATAAACAAGTCAAAGCACCTTACATTTGTTGAAACTTCATGTCTACTGTACGTGTCGGCTATTTTAGAGCTCACTTATAGAGCAGAAAGAAACTAAAGTAGTGAACATGCTTATGCTAGATCTGCTTTATGAATTGACAGCCTTACAGTAAGTATAAACTGGCTTTGAGCCACTTCACACACATTGGCATGCACAGTGTCACTCACAGGCTGTGGATACAAGAAGACTGCTGCAGTGCTGCCATGCTGCATATTTAGTTATCACTATGCCCAAGGAAATGTAATGCAAGGGCATTCAGGAAGGAGGAGGAGGTACACTTTTGGATAGGCTTCCTTTTTACTAATTTACAGGCATTTAATTCATTTA